CCGTGCACCGCTAGGCTTTGACAGTCCAGGAACTTCTGTGGGGGAAATAACTAGCCTGAAACGACTGGATTCCACGTGGAGATCGAGCCGCCATCTTGGATTTCGACTTCATGGAAATGGTTACTTTCGCTCTAGAATGAATTATCATCATAACTCAACTGCTATTTTTCAGTTGATTTGACTAGTTAAAAGCGGAGATGTAAGTACTAATCCTGGTCCCACTGCTATTCCAGTTGTAATTGGTAATCGACGTCCGACAAACTGTTATCCTGATAATGCCACTCGTGTTTCACCGCGTTTGTATGGCTTGGACTACTTGAGAAATGTTCAACGACAAACTGACTTTGTATCTCGCAGTTATATTTCCTGCTGTGTTCAGCTTTGCCTGCTTAATGTAAGATCTGTTAAGAATAAGGCGATGATAGTGAAAGACTATGTTGTGGACAATGATATTGATATTATGGCTTTGGCAGAAGCATGGCTGCGACCTGGAAGTACCAATGATGTTTAAGTGGGAACTTTGTGTCCTACTGGCTATAGGTTGCTACATGTTCCAAGATCTCATTCCAGGGGAGGAGGAGTTGATGTGTTATTTAAAGACAATGTTAATATCAACTCCTCAATGTGTGACACCTTTCAGTCATTTGAATTCATGGATGTCCGTCTCAGAAGCCTTCAGTGTATTAGGATCCTGGTTATTTATCGTCCACCCGACAACAACTCCTGTTTGCTTTTCTTTGAAGAGTTCTGAAGATTACTAGAGCAAACTGCTGCTGAGCCTTCGGGATGTTTATTGATAACGGGTGACTTCAACTTCCAGATGGATGATCCTGACAATGCTAATGCCAAGCGGTTTGCAGACCTTCTTGAGTCATATGATCTGAAACAACATGTCAATTGTGGAACTCATACCAGCGGCCATACCCTTGATTTAGTCATTACAAGATCAGATGACTCACTTATCAGGATACCAAAGTTAAGGATCCTGTTATTTCGGATCATCTTGTAATTCATTGTGTGTTTTCTATTCAGAAACCTCAATTTAGAAAAAAATTGATTAACACTCCTTAAATATGGACTCCTTTTGCAAGCACAATATGGATTCTCCTTTGATACAAGATCTAGCTACTGACTTAGATACGATGGTAGATCAGTATGATAGGGTTCTGCGACAGTTATTGGACCAACATGCTCCAAAAAAGAAACATCTGGTAACTGTAAGGCCATCTGCACCGTGGTATACATCGGATGTCGTTGCTGAGTAAAGGAAAAGAAGAAGACTGGAACGGAAGTGGCGTGCTTCGCGGCTACAGTGGGACCGGGATCAATATGTTCGTCATTACTGAGTGGTTAACAACCTAATTGCTACATTGAAATCAGCGCACTACACTTCAATCATCAATGAACATCCCTCAGATCAAAGGATTTTATTCGCGACTGTTAATAAATTACTTCAAAAACCATCTGAGAAGCGTTATCCACCCTCTGTTGATAATTCTCCACTGTCAAATTCATTTGCTGATTTCTTTGTTAACAAGATTGATAAAATTCACTCCAAACTTGTTCAAAGGAATATCATCGTAGAGCCCTTTCGTCAAATACCATTAACATGTCCTGTGGAGTTCAATAACTTTAGAGAGGTTAGCCTAGAGGAAGTAAAGGTGTTTGCGTGTAACCCCTCTTCTAAGTCATGTGTCTTGGATCCTTTACCTGCAATGGTTCTAAAGGGCTGTTTCTCGGTGTTGCTACTTACAATAACTAAGTTTGTCAATTTGTCTCTCTCAACTGGCAAAATGCCTATTGCATTGAAAGTCGCTGCTTTATCTCCGTCCCTGAAGAAAAATGATGCTGACTTCAAACCGTTTTCAAATTTTCCTCCTATCTCCAATCTGACACTATTCTCAAAGATCATTGAGAAAGCCGTTGCTGAACAATTGACTGACCATGTAAAGTCATACCATCTAGATGTGATGTATCAGTCTGCCTTCAAGGTCTTGGACTCGACTGAGACGGCCTTACTAAAAGTACGAAATGACATACTGCGTGCTGTTGATCATAACAAGTCGGTTATACTCCTTCTACTCGACTTGTCCTCAGCCTTTGATACGGTTGACCATTTGATACTGTTATCTAGACTCTCCCATCCTTTTGGTATAAAGGGTAATGCCCTTGCTTGATTTGATTCGTATCTTAAATCTCGCAAACAGTTTGTGAAAATTGAAGATTGTCAGTCATCACAACGTTGTTTAGCACATGGGGTGCCTCAAGGATCTGTGTTATGTCCCTTGCTGTATTTATTATATACATTTCCGATTGCTGATATTATCAATTTTCATAGCCTACAGTACCATTTGTATGCTGATGATTCTCAACTTTACATTTCTTTTAAAACTGACTGCTTTGCTGACCTCGCTCAAGCTAAGTCATCTATTAAGCTGTGTCAAAGATATTGACTGGTAGATGACAAACAACATGCTAAAGCTCAATCAGGAGTAAACTGAACTGATTGTAATTAGTTCAAAATTCCGATTAAAGCCTGCCATTTCATATGTGTCAGTTGGTGATGAACAAATACTCCCCAAATCTTCAGCTAGGAATCTCGGTGTCATATTTGACGAATGCTGTAACATGGTGGAACATGTAAATAAGATCTGAAAAACGTCGTACTCCCACTTAAGGAACATTTCTAAAATTAGGAAGTACCTCACTGAGGAAACTACGGAAATTCTTGTTCGTGCATTTGTTAGTTCAAAACTAGACTATTGTAACTCTTTATTGTATGGCCTCCCTAAGCATATGATAAGTAGTTTAGAGTCTGTGCAAAACACGGAAAATAAACACTGCGTTAAATAAAGTTTGAAACCGAAGAGCTACCGAAGGCTGACATGTGGTGTCACTTGGGAAAAGCCATCGTTAGAGGACCCGATGAAGGTAATTTCATCCATATCCATTCCCATATCATTCTTTTCTACTGTAACGTTGACTTTTGTCGTTTTTGTTTTCTCTGTCATTAATGTCGGCTCTTAGTGTGTTATTAATTTATATTGATATACATATGTGTCACTTCTGGGTATAACAATACCGTACAATACTTTTGACAGACATTTGCAAATTACTCTTATTATCAAGAAGAGATGAGAAACTGTCGGTGAAATTTGTAACATAATTTTCATCCACGGAAACGACTTTAATACAATATTAAGCGAAACTTGGTTTACACTCGTTCGTTTATTCGTTAAGGACGAGCTCTTACTGATAAAAAATACTAAAAGAACCAATACGTCGAATATTTGGAAACAGACTAAGGATTCCTCAGATTTATCAGTGAATCGTACTATTTGAAGAGGAGCAGACCGCGGATTTCTGATTCATCATTACAAAGGAAAGTAATGAAAACAAAAATATGTTCTGTCTATTTTGTTTTCTTGTAGAGGAAGTGACCGAAGGGGAATGGAGTATTGATGAAGCTACAAGAAAGCTTCAATCTTCAGAAGCTGAAAACTACTGGAAAGTGGCCTTTGAAGAAGGTTTAAATCTCGATGAGAAAATCCTGGAGGGTCATTTGTGTAAAACGACGACCGAAGATTTCAAAGTGAGATATGATTTCACATATTTGACACCATGTGGGCATCAAGTGCGATGCAAGGTAAGGCGAGATTACGGTTAGAGATGGTGGTCCATATAATGTCCAAGGTATACAATAGGCATAAAATAGGTCAGTGCACCATCTCATTAAGCTTAAGTTGGAAAAGCAGAGATTCGTTTAAAAAAACCTCAAGCAATGCTATACATAGTGATATGCAAAAAAGTTCAGTAAATGTGTTTTCTTCGTTTTATCTAAGACCCTACTACAAGTCTCATGTAACCTTTTATAAATAGGTATGGGTGGCAAAAGCGGATATAAATAAGAAATTGGAGGACATTCCAATTCCTTTCAGCGACGTGAAGAATATCCTGGAGACAATTCCCTTTGAGGACGAAAAAACACTGTATACATGTCGGGGATGGCTAGTTCTTCCTTCTCGAAGATATTACAAGCCGACATTTTGTTTCCAAGTTGTGAATTTGATTGCAGGTTAACTACTCGAGGACGAACAGGTAGGTTTGAAACGAATATAATTTAGTATCATAAAGACCTCTGAAATATCATCAAGTTAAGTCAATTGCTATTTTAACAACGTACACTGTTGAAACTTTATGTGTCATACCNTAAAATACCATTCGTTATTATTAACGACTCACTTTATTTACCAGCAGGTGGTGACTGGTCAACGTAATGAGAGACCTAACTTGAAAGGTAAACCACCATTTCATATCTTTATCACCTCCGAGCGATCAAACTATTTCAGTTATTTGCGATGTTCCTTTCTGCGGTCTCTCGTATAGTTCGGTATCTCGTGGCTTTACTAAATCATTCATATAATCATTTTTCAATTTAATCCTATGCATTTCGTGTCAGTCGTGTGTTCTAGCGATAAGAGAAGTTAACGTTTGCGGTCATCCTGTGGTTTGGTAAATGAATCCTTCCATAAACGATTCGTACAGTCCAATGAGTGTTTTTTTTTCCTAGTAATACTGAGGGATCTCTGATGGATGCCAGAAGAAATCATGGGTGTTACCCGGCAAAGCTGTAGCATCTATTCAGCCACAAGGACCAAGTGTAGGCAGTGAAAGTGATATGTTGCAAGTTCCTTTTGCACAAGGTTAGTTTCTTCCTCTTTTCTTGTCATGCATTAGCTCATTACTATTGTTTATTCTTCGTGTTTTATCTTTCTGTTGTATTACAAGGGCCTTGAATGCATTATTTTCTAACCTAGGTGGGAACCCAGGATATTGTCAAGTCCAGGTCCTCGTGGCTGAACAATTCGAAGGAGAATTTAACCAACTCCAAGATGCTGTTCATGAGAGAAAAGGAACAGTTTTTCTTGTTTCAGGGGGTCAGTTGCCTGTAAATTGCCTATTATCACTATGTTTGTTTTTGAGTTTTTTTTAAAGAAAACTAATCTTTCTAGTCAGTTGTTATTGCCTACCGTTAAGGGTATTCTTTCTGACCTTTTGTCATCAAAATAAGTACATAAGATGTTTTCCTTCCTTGCAGAATAATAAGTAATCGGAAGTAAGTAGTTTTGTTTTATCGCACATTTAAGGGTATGGAGAAAAATCGCTTGCCCTACCTTGCGATGTTTCCCAGGCTCTCCAGTCTGAGTCGGTCCCTGCAGAAGATGTTGTTTGTAAACTGCTGGATCTTCCATCGCTGAAAACTCCAGCACCAGAGGATAGGAAATGGATCCGTTGCCTTATGAGGGATGCTAAGGATTGTGATAGAACTGATGTGCTTACTTTCTTGAGAAAAATGCGCCAGAGGGTACAACAGGTGAGAGTTTAAATTATTGTTAATACTGCCTCAGTATCGGGGAGGGCGAGAGTTCCATTGGGAGAGATTTGTCACAATAACACGACTGGGGCTGCGCCCGGACCACTCGATCCGGATTACAGAGCGTGGACCATTAGCACACTGCAACTCACACCGGCGTACCACGAACATCTTCTAGGTGAGGGCGATCTCTGACCTATTTACCTTTTTTCGCTGCCCCTTTGTTTACTTCTGTCGTTAATGAGTAGGCTGGAAAAAACAATTAATAATTAAAAAAAAACATTTGACGCTACTAAACCACTAAGGTACTTTCCTTTCCTTTTCGTTACGGTTAAAACACAATTTTAGACCCATCTTAATTAATCATTTATCTGTCACACTGGTATTAATTTATCTTACGCTACTCCTTCCAAGTTGAGGTCTGTCAAAAATCCAGACAATGTCCGATCGAGTTTTGAGACATGACGTTTGAAATATTAGAGGAAAATTCATTACTTGACGCGTGAATTCCGCGTTAAATTGCACGTGAAAATCGATATCGCACGAATCGCGAAGAGATGAGTACAATATTGGTTTTGGAGTGCAATTTAACGTGGAATTCATGAGTCATGTAATGGATTTTCCTTGAATCGCATAATTGTCGACAGTCTCAATTCTACACACACGGTTGCCAATTAAAGTGTCAAAATTAACCGAATTCAGAAGACACCACAATACCTTTTTTTATTTCAGGCCCTTTACTTGAAGAAAGTCTTAGCGTTCTGAAAATTCCAATTAAACGGAGAACTGATCTAGCAGTTGC